ATATATATATATATATATATATTAATAAAAAGGGATAAATCCCTTCCAGCAAAAGAAAAAGGGGAGCTTCCTATTTTTTTCATGCGAAGATGGCTTAGCCCCCAATTTCTCTCGTGGGCGTCGCCCCCCCTCTCCTGTCGTTGCTCTCCGGCGAACTCTCCCGCCATTCACTGCTCCTTGCAGGTGATCGCGCTCGACTGACGGTCACCTTTTATGTCGCCGGCTCACCTTCATTTTTCTGCCTAAGATGGAATACAAGTCGAGATCCCCTCTTTCGCCTGAGCTCCCTCACCAGCGAGCATGCCGCCAACCATCTCGCCAGCCTCTCTCGTTGGCGATCCGGTCAAGCCGCCATCCTTCGCGGTGCAGTATCGATGCCCTAGGGAGGACTCTCCTCCCGGTCGGTATTCCTTGAAGTCGACGACCTTCGTCGGCCTCCCTCTTGACACCGTCGGCCCCTCTTGAAGGCTATGAGTAAATAATCCTTCAAGTGATCAAATGTGGCATTTATAGATGCCACTAGAGATGGAAATTTGTGCCAAAAATTAGAAAAAAATATTACTTCAGTATTCATGATGTAAAACTGCATCAGGATTCCAATCACAATACGTTACATGCACGATCAGACCCCGCCATGAATTAAAATATTTTGTTTTTTTGTATTCAGTGACACCAAACTGTACATGCGACATATTGTGATTGGAGTTCTGATACAATTTTGCATCATGATGTAATATTTTCTCTTAAAATCATGGGGCCAATGCGTAACATTTTTATTTTATAATGAATTTGAATAAAGCTTGTTTGTTTTTATGTTATATCACACTAAATACAAAGTTTATGCCATTCTATGATTGCGACTCTCTTATTTCTCATTAAAACTTTAAAGGAGATAATAGGTCCATTCCTTGGATGTTTTTTTTATGCTACTTTAAGAGTTATGTTACTAATAAGATTTCATTTAGTCGTATTATAAGTTGTTCATATTCCACCTGAGTTCAATCTAATCTTTCACATGCATGTTGTTTATATTAATTAGCAGTTACTTAAAAGAGTTAATAAAGAAGTTAAAAATTAGAACATGTATTTGGGTCTTTATATAAATTTATTAGCAAAGAATTTTAAAAATATAAATAAGTACTTAAATTAGTATTTAGCTACTTTATCATAATTAATCAAGATAATGTATAAATGACACAAATTTTATTTCAATAAAACAATATATATAATATTAAACTAGTTCATTAAAATAATGAGATAAGATGGAATTATGTTAAGTTAAGATGTATATTGATATTAAATTATAAGATATTACTATATATAAATAATTAATCCTAAAATAAAATTTACCTTAAATTTAAATATATTGCCATTAAATATATTACTAAATAATTTATAGCTACACATACTGTATTTAAATAATATACATATATGATATGAGCTTTAATTGAGCTTAATATAGAGTATTTAACAAGTTATTTATTGAACAACATATGAGTTTATTTGTGAAACAATTAAAATAGACTGATCAAGTTTAAGTTTAATTCATTTAACCTTTGAGTTAAAAAAAAAAAAATCAAATTTATTTATTTACTAATTTGAGTAAATTTAATTGAGTATTAATCAAGTCGAGTTCACGTTATTAATCAAGTGTCGTGGTTCATTTACAACTCGAACAGACACTTATCACATAATTTTTTAGGGACTATCTATGTATAGATTTATTCCATAATGAGCTGGAGTCTTAGGTCTATTTTATGATGCAAACATTCCATCTTTATAAATATTGATTACTCCAATATGGATAACCATGTGTTATAACTTTTAGGTTTGATCGGTTTGACTGTGAATTAACATGTGACTGGCTTAAAAACGTCGAATCATATTGAACTAATTTGAACAGGCATGGAGTCGGTAAAAACGGATCAGTTTGACCACGAAAATTATATTTTTTTTACATTTATATTACCAATTTTATGTAATTTACATATCTAAACTCCATTTTTTATATTGATACAACTCAAATAATTCACATCACAAAAAAACATTACTATTATAAAGAAATTCAATTTACACATATGCCACTCAATTTTATTTATTTACATATCCACCATCTAAACTGTAATGTTTTATATTTATACTATTAAAATCATCCATATCATATAAAATATCACTATTTTTTTTAAAAAATGAAATATAAGTTCTCATGCATGGATAAAATGACATGTTGAAACTGAATTTTAGGTGTTAGATATTTAAATACATAGGTACTGATTGTTATGTAAATTTTATGAATTGTCATTTTTAAAAATAAGGTATTTTAATTTTAAATATATTTTTTTGTAAAAAAAAGAAAGTTTAATTTTCTAATTTGACGCACCACTGAACACTCCTATATAAATACCCTGTACTTTCTAATCAAACCATTTCTAAAGTGAGCATGAGCGAGCGCTTTTAAGGGATTCACAAGTGAGCGTCGCCTAGCCAGTACCTCTGTCTGTCTCCGTGGCTCCCTCCCTCCCTCACTTGTTCGATTAGTCATCTCCTTCGTTCCGATAAGATCTTAAAAATGCCGACGCAATCCCCAACCGTCCTAGGGTTCTCCGTCGTCTCCATCCCGCTCTTATCGGCCATCGTCGGCGGCGTGCTCATTCTGCTCTTATTCGCGGATTACTTCCGCCGGAAGCGAGCTGAGGTCGCGACGCTGGAGCTCAAAACTGCGGACCAAAAGCCAGCCGTAAAACCCCCTCCACCCGCCTCAAGAAAGCCCCACTCGAGATCTCACCACTCTCATGCTTCGGATAAGGTTGGTCTCGCTTCTTTGTACTAAATTTCCCCGGCGGTTCCAGATGAGGTCTATTTTGATCGGTTCTTGTTGTAAGATCAGGATCAGAACAAGCGACATCATCCCCTTGATATCAATACCCTTAGGGGTCACGTTGATGCTGTTAATGCGCTTTGTTTCTCTTCGGATGGCAGGAATCTGGCTACCAGTGAGTGAATTTCTTTATGTCTATTCATGGTGTATTCTGTATTTTTTGGCTATTTTAACTAGCTGATTATTTTTGCAGCTTGTTCGGATGGAGTTGTTAGAGTCTTCACTGTGGACGATGTTTCCAATAAAAGTTTCAAGTAGGGCTTTATATCTTCTATCTCTCTTGTTTTATATATCTTCCTGACTGCTGGATCTTTTTTTCAAACTTTGCAGACTTCTGAAGATAAACCTGCCAGCTGGTGCGCAACCTACTGCCATTGCTTTTCTGGAGGAAGCTTCTTCCCTGGTTGTGGCTGCTCATGTTCTTTCGGGTTCCTGTCTGTATATGTATGGCGATGTCATTTTGAAACCTGTTGGTGACAGCAAGCAGCCGGCTAAAGTTCCTGCACCAGAGATCAAATGGGAGCATCAGAAGATACATGAGATGAGGTCTGTGCTGACTCTTGTTGGGGTCCCTGCAACTTATGGAACTGGTGATGGGAGCATGATCGTCGCTTCTTGCTCTGAAGGTGTGGGATATTTTTTAAGTTTAAAAATCCATGAAAATTAAATGACACGCTCTGTGATTTGTATTCTATCCTTTCTAATGATGTAGAACTTAGAATTGGTCTATCGCTTTTATTGCTTCAACCATCTTTGGCCATAGATTTTTTTTCCGGGGCTTTTATTGGCAATTTAAAGCTAATCATGGATGGAAAACCTTTGCGTTCCTGTATTGTGTCTAATTCTTTGGAGTGGTGACAACGTGCTTGCTTATTTTTCCATGGTTCTGTACTCCATTGTCTTTTTTTGCATGTTTTGTCGGGAAGAGAAACTTGGAATTGTTTTGCTTGCAGTATTTTGTATATACCATGGGAATGATAATATAAGGGATTAGCTCATTAAAATAAACTGAAGTTATAATACTTCTGCAATGTATGTCTGTCTCTCTTTACGTCTCACTAGAGCACCCTTTCTCTTCTGCAACACGGAACATAAGCATGGTTTCATTGCGTGCATACTCCTTTATCTACAATTCGCCTCGTGCTACTTATGCATAATTTACCTTTTTCCATAATTTCCACCAGTAAAATTTTTTGATGGGTTTCTATCCCTTATTTAAAAAAAAAGCCCTTTTGACGTAACCAACTGGGTGCCCAATGGAGTTTCCTGGTAATAATACATCTGAAAGTGAATGTGTAAATTTATGAATACCCTTTAGAAGAATGTTTTGAGGGCTAGGCATTTTATGCTTTTTGTAGTTGTCACTTTTACTATTGCATATGCGTTTTTCTTTTATTTTTCCTTTATTGTTTTTTTTTCCAATCAAACGACCCGTAGGGAGTCTAAAAGAACAATCTGTGACGTTAAAAAATTTTCTTTTAATGATCTTTATAATTGATTAGATACTAAGGATGGTGAAAAATATATGTATAAATTAGCCATATAAAGGGAGAAGAAAAGTAAAAATTTAACTCTAAAGTGAATTAAAGATGAAAATCAAAAAGTAATTTTCTTAGAAAAAAAATATTCAACATAGGTGGGTGAGGTATTTTGATAAACTTTTTAATGAAGTTTCTGAAAATACGATCGACTTTAGTGATCTTAATATCGTGAATAATAATAAAACATTTCATTTTTATCATCGCATTAGTAAAAAAGAAGTTGAGGAGGCTTTAAAGAAAACCAAGGGTGGAAAGTCTATAGGACCTGATGATATCCCAATTGAAGTGTGGAAATATTTAGGAGATTTGAGAGTTTCTTGGCTTACTAAACTCTTTAATATTATTTTAAAAAACTAAAAAAATGCGTGAGGAGTGGAGGAAGAGTATTTTGGTCCCCATTTTTAAGAAAAAAGGCGATGCACAAGAGTGTGTAAATTATAGAGGAATTAAGTTGATGTGTCATACTTTAAAATTATGGGAGAGGGTAATTGAACATAGGTTAAGACGCATCACGAAAATTTCTCATAATCAATTTGGATTTATGCCGGGCAAGTCTACTATGGAAGCTATACATTTATTGAGAGGTTTGATGGAGAAGTTCAGAGATAATAAGGAGAATCTACATTTGATTTTTATTGATTAAGAAAAAGCTTACGATAAGGTTCCAAGAGATATCCTTTGGAAAGTTCTCGAGAAGAAATGTGTTGATATGACTTACATTCAAGTCATTAAAGATATGTATACTAGAGCTGTTACTTGTGTTCAAACTGAAGGAGGATTGACTTACTGGACATCTACAGGAGGATGTACCTTGGTGTATGCTTTTTGCTGATGATATCCTTCTCGTGGATAAAACTAGAGAAAAAACCCAGGAAAAACTTGAATTATTCAGGTCTACATTGGAGTCTAAATGCCTTCATTTAAGTAGAACTAAAACTGAATCATGGAATGTAATTTTAGTAGTAGTAGCTCTAATGACAGAAGTGTGATTTTGGGCGATCAAATTACTAAAAGGTGCGAACGATTTAGATATTCTGCGTCTGTTGTTCAAAGTGATGTTGAGATAGATGGTGATGTTAATAGTAGAATTCAAGTTGGTTGGTTGAAGTGGAGGAATGCTTCAGGCTTTTTATGTGATAGAAAAGTACCGCTTAGACTGAAAGGAAAATTTTATAATATGGTGGTGAGACCTGCAATGCTCTATGGAACTGAATGTTTCTCTTTAAAAGAGAAGCATAATAATAAGTTAAGTGTTGCCGAGATGAGAATGATTAGGTGGATGAGTGACTTTACGCTTAGAGAGAAAATGCGAAATGAATATATCTGTGATAGGGTTGGTGTTGCTCCTGTGACAGACAAAATTAGAGAAAGTCGTCTTAGATGGTTTGGTCACATTAAACGTCGACCATCTGATAATCAAATTAGGAGAGTAGATGTTTTAGATTCGACTTGTGTTAAAAAAGTCAAAGGTAGACATAGGAAGTCTTGGGCTTATTGTATAAAAAATAATCTTAATTTACTAGAACTAAATGAAAATATGACACTAAATATGACACAATGGAGAAATATGATTCATATAGCCGACCCCACGTAGTGGGATAAGGCTTTGTTGTTGTTGTCGTTGTCGCTTTTTTTCCCAATCAAATGCATGAAGACTTCATATTTGGAATATTAGGATAATATATTGCACTTCATTTTTTGTGAGAAGGCTTGTTCCATACATCAAATTATCAGTTCAATCATTTATTCATTATATTAGATATACTTCATGTTTGTACTATTTTTAAAGTCAAGTATTGTTGGCAACACTTGGCCTTCAATGCTAGAGCTAAGCACAATTTATTGACCCTCAATGTTGTACTACACCTTAATTTTTTGAAACTGTATTTATGGAGAACAATGATTCACGTAGTCGACCCCACTTAGTGGGACAAAGGCTTGCTGTTATATTTATGGAGAGCAACTTGAACATTTGTGTCATGGGGGCTAATCTGGAGTTGTTTTGCGATCCCAACTGCAATATAGCTACACTGATGCTGGCGTAAAAGGTCGTGGCAACCAATCCCGCAATTTCTCTCATTTGGATCGAATCTGTCCAGACACGAAAGGCGACCAGCTCTTCCACGTTGGTTTAACACCTCCTTTCCATAGGGGTATCCAATCCCAACTATCTAGGGCTTATTTATGTGATTCTTTTGTTTTAAGTTTACATTTTTTTGTGTGTTTTATTAGGACAACCGCTGACATCCGTTCTTCTCTCTTCGAGGGCTGTATCTATAGGATTGAGTGGTACTCTGGCTATATCTCTCTCCCTAGGTGGTGAGTATCTTCTTTATCCCCTTTAGCATCTTCTCCAAGATGCTAGAACCACCGCCGAACATCACTTGTTTGTTGTTTTTTCACTGTATTTTTTCAATTCCAGCCCCTCTTGCTTGCTGCCACTGCTCCAGACAGCAAATCCTTATTGTTTTCTAGTCCAGAACCGTTTTGCTATGTTGTCCCTTGTTGTCCTAGCCCTTAGCTTCACTGCCAACACAATTCTAGCCCCTTCTTTTACTGTCCCAACCTCCCACAACCTATTTCAGTTGCCTAAGTTCGCTCTCCAACCATCTAGCCGACCTCTATCACCCATGGATCGAGCTCTAGTGTGAGTTTGTGTCGTGTTTTTTGTTATTTTCTTTTCTAGTGTGTTTGAGTGCAATTATCTATTTGCTTTCAGTAATAATATTTGTTTTTCCTATTGTGGTTTGTGTTAACTCCAATATTCTTTGGTATCAGAGCTAGCATATCCCTCTTTCTACCTTAGGATTTTTAGCATATCTCGTACCAAACCTATCTCTATCCCCTCCAAATTTTCTTTCCCCACTTTACATTACCATTACACACCTCCTTTCACATACTCACACCCAAATTCTAATCATGCCTCTGAGAAGATAAGTGTTGGATGCCGATCAGGAGTTTACTATGGAAGAGATACAACTCAATGAAATTGAGGAAAGAAGACAATTCAAAGAGGTTACACAAATTTCATTCTATTTCTAAGATAAAGAACCACTTTTCCTAAGATTTGACATGAAATTTTGGAGAAAGTAGAATTTTGAAGTAAATGTGGATTTGACATATTTTGTCAGCCACATGGATTCAGAAGAGATCATCAAATGATTCAATGTCCTATTGAACGAAATGGTGAAATTAGTTGTTAGCAAGTTAATGAAGAGAGCATCTCAGTAGTGGGTGAACTTGAAGGTTATTCGACTGCGAGAAGGGAAGAATAAAGTTAATATCTGGTTCAAGATGAAATTGAGATGCTGCCCTGGTTCCTACCAACTCACTACTGACTGGATATTCAGACTCCAACTTCAAAAGTGGAGAGACCCCATTATTAGGCTACTATCACATCTTACAGACAATGTTCAACTTCAAGATCGTGTGACCGGAGTACACTCAGGGGAACATCCAAGCTGACCCCACCTGAGGAGAAACTTATTTAGAATTGAGAACAAGTGTAGCAAACCAATAGTCCTAAATTTGTCCTGACCAGAAAATATTTCAAGTGCCACAAATTTTGGCATATGAATCAGATTGTAAAACTACTAGAATGATCTATTTCATATATCAAGGACTAGTTGAAGAAATCGACAATGACACCGTAGACATTGAAGAAAGTGAGGAGACAAAGGAGGTGTACTAGGTTCTAACCGATGAGGAAGAAAACATGTGGTTCAAGCTGAGCCTATAGGAGAGACTCCAACAAAATCGTTATTGATCGTCCAAGATGTCCCTAAGTTTGAAGAACCCATAACCAAACACATGACAATCTCAGATCAGAAAATTTTAGAATTTTCAGATATATTGTCTGCTTCATGAGTTGCCTTTGCATAGGGAGGTACAACTTGTCAGAAATGAGAAGCTTTTGAGTTATTTCTAGAAGGCCGCTAGGAATCAATTGAATATTAAATTAAGTTCAACAGTGCACCCCTTGACAGAAGGCCAGACCGGAGGAATGAACCACAACATTGGAAATTGTCTTGGGAGCTTGGTGGGCTAGAATTTCCTACAGTGGGATTTAGGTTCCTTTCGAGAAAAATGTTTTTCTTGAGTGGTTATATGTTAGTGTGATCTAGCTTGCTATATATTTCATGCTAGAGTTGATTTCTCTTGACATACTTGTTTATTTGATATATTCAACAGGGTACGAGGAGTGGGAGAAATAGATTATAGATTTATTTTTGTGCAAAAAGAGGATGAATATTTTTTCTATCGTGATGTGCTTTGGAATAACAGTGCATACAAGTTATCCCACTCCTATTTACCCTAAGACATTTATTTTCCGTTTTTAGATGTTGGGTTTTTCTTCATGTCTTTTGTCAGGAGAACCGTCAACGCTTTGATTTTTGCTTCCAGAGTTGTTTTCAAGGGCGAGCGGTGCTCTAGTTGTATCTCGTTCCGATGTGATGACCCTTCTTCAAGGGTCGAGTAGTGCTCTGGTTGTATCTCGCTCTCGTTGTGATACTTGTCCTTCTCTAACTCCTCCGCATCCCTTCCACTTCGCTACCACAAATTCCTACTTAGTGTAGTTGCCTTGACAATCACCTCATATCTGTCTTTCTGAATCTCCTGCTCTCCCAACTGCCGCTTGCTATTTGCCAGCTACCGAGGATCATTACTCCAACACTAATGTTGCTGTCCCAACCACCTACAACTTTCCCTCCGCCTTCTCCCAGCTTTCTGCATTGCTCCCTCTACCGCGTAAGCCCCTCGCCTTGCTGTCCACTGCCGTTCCAACCTTCGAACCACATCCCTGCAGCCATGTTGTTATTCCAATACTTCTCTTGTCCTGCCATTGTTGTTCCAGCTGCTCAAGACCATTCCTTGTGCCATCTCACAGCTGTCCCAGCCGCCAGAACCACCTCCCCGCGGCCTAGCTGCTATTCCTGCTACCTAGAACCTCCCCTAGCCGTTGTTTTTTCATTGCCCAATCCACTCCCCCCCTTGCCACTGTTTTTCCAAGTCCCTATCGACCACCATTACCGCCCAAGATTCACCTTAGTTAAGTATTTGTGTTGTGTTTGATGCTATTTCAAATTTTTGGGTATCTTGTTATTTTATTTTCCCTTTAACCTCTATTGGTTGTAGCCACCATTTTGTTTTCAATAAAATGTTTATTTCTTTACTTTTGTGACAACGCCTACATGAATTACTTATCGGGAGCTTGCAACCTTACGACTTTCTTCAATTGGGCCAACCTAACTACTATGAGGAGATAAAAGCTTCGAAAGATGAGATCGAATCCCCCAACCTTGCGAAAAACCTTGCGATGGAGCTATTTTGTGATCATAGCTACAGTATTGCTACAATGGCACGGGTGTAAAAAGCCGCAGGAGCCTATCCCATCATTTTTCTTATTTGGACCGAATCGGTCTAGACTTGGTAGGGCCGATCGGCTCTCCCATGTTGGTTCGGCGCCTCCTTTCCATTGGTGGATCCAAGCCCAAGCATCTAGGCCTTATTTATATGATTCATTTTTTTTTAGGTTTGTAGTTTTTCATGTGCTTTGTTTAAGACAACCTCCATGTCTGTTCTTCTCCATTCAAGGGTTGTATCCAAGGGATTGGGTGGTGTCTCGGCTGCATCTCTCACCCAAGGTGGTGAATATCATCCATATCCTCTTACGCATATTCGCCGCGATGCTCCCGGCCGCCCTTCACGCTGCAGCTGCCTTCGAACAACACTTATTTGCAGTTTTTCACTGTAGTTTTTCAATTCCAGCCCTTTCTGCTCGCTGCCACTGCCCCGGACAGCCACCCCTTGCTGTCCTCTAGTTCACAAATATTCTGCCACGTGCACTCAGCAGTCCCAGCCCCCTCCCAAAATTTTTCCTAAATTATTTTTATTACAGGTTAAAAGAAATTATAAAAATATTTTTCCTGCTAGCTGCTCCGGTTTCTAGCCCGCTATGCAGCTCTCACCCGCAATCCACCTTCAGCACCCTACCTCCATTCGCTCTCTGGAGCACCTTTACTAACAAGGTAGAGGGGCATTTACATACATACCACCTAATTCCTATGTATTTACATATCTAAAACGACAGTCAACTTTTTTACATTTATGACCCTCAAATCTTTCATATTTCATAAAAATTGCCACAATTTTTACTTTTGATAGGTGAAATACTTTTTTATGCATAGGAAGGTTGTTATGTAAAATTGAAGTTTAGGTGTTTGATGAGTAAGTATATTGGAATCGAGTGGTGTGTATGTAAATCTTCCTAAAATAAATGGTTTTCCGGCATAAAATGCTAAAAAATTAAAAAAATGGCTTTTCCTGCACTTACTACTCCTAGCTTTCCAATGGTGAATATATAATTTCTCAACTCTTTCAAAATAATTAATGGAAAATTACGTATATAATATTGTCAAAAGCTTGTATATTTATAAAGTCAACCATTATGTTATTTTTTTTTTGAACCATCACATCGTATATTTGTGAGCACAACGATCAATCTATTAGGAATTTAACAAGTATAAAAAGTATTGATTAAAATTTTATGGTGAGTTTCAATATTTTCGTGATACTTAAAAAAGTGATGCGAGAGTGCATTAGTTTTATATTTATTCAAGTTTTAGATGTTTATACATCTAGTCCTCAAAATTAAAGTTAAAAAAATTCAAAAAAACTAAAGGTAAACAAAAGATCATCCCTGGATGTCACCTGACTTCTGCCAACCTCGAATGTTTTAAATTGATTTTATTATTATTTTAATTTTACACATAACCAAACAACTCTAAATTTTTTCAAATACACTACATTATAACCACACTAAATTTTCTTTACACGACATTTATTTTTTGCTGGCTTATAATATTTTACATTGATTTAATTTTTCTCATTTATTTTATACTGAAACTAATATTTTCAAAAAAATTTCAAATGCATTATATTATAATTGTACTAGACTTCCTTAACACTATATTCATTTTTCAGAAAAAAAACACATTTCTAAAAAAAAAATTACGATGATTTACTGCCATATACTGTTTTGTGCCCCCATTCTGGGAATTTTCTGACTCTGCCACTGGAGTCTACCATTGTCTTGGGCCCACCCTACTAAGCTGCTTGATTTGGCGATGTGGCTTGCTCTATATCCCTATTTGGGATTGGGATGTTTACAAAAATGAGATGGAATGAGTCTTAGCATAAAAGGACCAATCTTAATTTTTTAGGTTGTTAGTTCTTCAAGAAGACCATTGATGAAGATGACCTCCAACATTGCTCTGATTGCTAATAAAGCCGTCTTTTTTTCTTTTCTCATCTTCTTTTTTTCTTTACAACCATGCCTTTCTTTATGCAAATTCCAACAATGGAAACCTATACTGGAAAGAATTTCGGAGGATTTTAGTTGTTGACTTATTTATTTTTCCACGCTAGCATTTGGAACAACATAGTACATGCGCTTATGGATGTTTTTCTATACATGGTTATTAAGTTGCCTCTTGTTTGTGTTTGGGTTTGTAATAATTTGACTTCAAAAATCTTATTCAAGCTTGATTAATACATATATATATATATAATATATTAATACTGAACAAGCTAAAAGTGATTGGAGGATGGAGGCAGATATGCAATATTTAAGGCTTTTTTTCGAAATATTTTGTTGTTTGCCTTTGTCCCCTGCAAACTTTCGACATTAATCTGAATAAAATACCTTTTCAGGGTTATAGAGGGCAACTACCTTTTCTACGTATTATAGATTTCTAAATGTTCAACTACCTTTTCAGGCACTGATATTAAACTGTGGCATGGCAAAAGTGGTAAAGAGTTGGCAACTGTTGACACAAATCAGTTGAAGAATAACATGGCTACTATATCTCCAAATGGACGTTTCCTAGCTGCTGCAGCTTTTACTGCAGATGTGAAGGTATACACATTCTGTTCCCACACTTAAACACTATTTTTATGATGCACAAAAATAATCAAGTGCTTTGATCTTTAGGGAATTCCATACGAATTTTTTAATTTTGAAGTTAAATTTTCTAAATTCTTTATTTTCAACCAGTGTTGCTAATATATCTTCTGACTTTCTGCCTTCTAGTAGTACTGGTGAAAAAATGTTATTTTGGTTATATATAATGTTTGTAAGTTATATATAGACACACACACACACACACACACACACACACATATAGTGCGTCTTAATGATGTAACTTTCAAGTTTAATTTTTCTAATTTTTAATTATTAATCACATTTTATTGGTGGTTCTTAGGTTTGGGAAATACTTTATGCAAAGGATGGTTCTGTGAAGGAGGTTTTGAAAGTCATGCAATTGAAGGGACACAAGGTAAGATTCTATGTGTGGAGCAATTTATTGATAATTTAGTTGGTTTTAAATGTGGCATGATTACACTGAAACTGAGTACAATTATTATAGAGTGTTTGTTTTGATTCATTAGATTGCCGCTTAGAAATAAATATGTGTTGGCTAGTTTTTTACTTCTTTTTTTTCCGGTGATCTTTTATAGAATGTATACAACATACAAAAATTTTACTTGGGGCAGCTCACTCATGCATTGATGCTTTTTGTAATGTAGCTAATGTTAAGCCTTTTTCATATCTTTTTTTTTTTGTTTTTGCTTGATTTTTTAACGAAGTTGAAATCACTACCTTACATTGGCAACTCCTATTCTTTAAAATGCTCGTTGTTTACGGCACTGTTTTTGCTTGATATTTGTCACAATTTTAGTGTTTGTCGTGGTTGTTGCATCTCTTTTACTGCTGATAAAAAATGAAAGTAATTTTATCTGCAGAACTTACTTGTAAATCGTGTTTCTCAATATGTATTTTTGGAGCTTCTGTGTGAGCTCATGTGAATATTTTAAGTTGTTTTCTATGAGTGTTACCTATGGGTGTTACTTTTGGGCTGTCAGCATGATTGTCATAGAATTAGGTATGTGGAGTAAGTTGTCTTATGAGCGAGAAAATTAAGCCCAGCACTTCAATTGCTAATATTGTATGATCAATGCTGTTCAACATTGTAACTAATAGAGAGGAGGATTATAATGATAAATAAGTCTCTTCTCCATTATGTTTTTATGAGGAATGCAATGTTTTGTCAGGTGATGATGATGACCTTTTTATTGGGCATGCTTGTCAATATCAAATAATGCATCATATCGCAATGATCCCTGTGTTGCCATAGTGCATAGCGTATGACATGGCACGTGCTTTTTAAATATGGCAATATATTAAAAACTATGAATAAAATGCTCTAAATATGAATTACTATTTAATTGAAAGATAAATTATCATGTTAATAAAAATAATCAAAGTGAAAGGCCTGAACAGATAAATTTGTTGAAGCATTGTCAAGCCCTTCTCCTTTCATTGCTTGGTGGGAGAAAGAGTTTGCGATGCGTGGATTTGAAGCAGAAAGAGGCTTCAATATTAACTGGGCTGTAGTGCTTGTTGTGAGCTGACATTGTGCAATGTGTGGTTTGAGAGGTGTGTGCTGCATGTGGCTTTTAAGTAGAGAGGGATGAACGGGGCTTTCAAAACAGAAGAGTAGGAATGATGCTTGCAGACTTGCGGCAAGCGATGCCGAGAGTTTAATGCCTTTAAGTAGAAAGAATCAAGGGAGTAAGTTGAGCAGGATGCAAGGCTTGTGGATGAGATAGGGTTTAATATTAATTAAAAATAATTAAAAAATAATATACTTATTAATTTTTAATCTGAAATCATGTAAATTAAAGTAGCACGCATTATGTGGGCTATGTGCCACACGCTATTGGCTGTGCATGGTGCAAATAACACATGCTATTTTTAGCCTCCTATGTTGTACTATGCGCCATAGTGCAATCTATCGACGTTTATGGTCTTGGGAGTATGTTGAGGAAGCCTATGCAAGGGCACCAAATTTTTAATGTCATGTTTTTCCACTTAAAACTCACTATACACCAAAGATATCTGATATTTTGTGCTATACAATGCTTTAAATTTTTGTTGGACATATATGATACTTCAACTGGTTGAATACAGATGTAGCCCTCTGTTTGTAAGTATAGTTACCCAGACTTGGAAAAATTGTTGAGCTGAACATGTCAACGGATATGGTTTTAACAATATAATTTGTTTGAATAGTTTGCAGAGTGATTAATGGGATTAGGCTCCTAATTTGATCCTTTTGCTTTTTATCTTATTGTGATGACAATCACAATCATTCTTGAAGCGATATTTGGTTTAAATGACAGCCCAAACCTCATATTTAATATGACACATTGGGATGATGCGAGTGAGGGAGTTGGGAAGGTGTTAAGTGACAAATGTCGCATGGTGGCTTTTCAATTAATTTAATCAGGGATTTTGAGGTTTGCAGGTTACGATGATGTTGATGAATGGGGATCTTGGTGGTCACATTAGACCAGGATGGCATTAAGGTGGTGAAGAGGTGGCCACTTTAGCCGTGACAAAGGAAGATCAAAAGAAACTTGGCAGACAATAGCATGGTCGGGAGGGGTTAAATGGTGATAGGAGCTTGAGAGAGAGAGAGAGAGAGATAATTGTAAAGCTCTTCTCTAAGCTTTACTTTTTTTATAATATCTTGTCCCATCCCTCATATCTCTCCCTTCATGTTTTGCCCATCGTTAAACATGTCAAATTTTGCTTCCGATTTAACTTCCTTTTTCGTTTTAACAACATTTTGTTTGTAGGCATTATGCATATGCGTGCCAATTTAACATGCATGCATATATCCAATGCGTCAACCGTCAAAATAAATAAAAGGAAAAAGAAAGGAAAAAAATTTAAAACACCTAACTTACTCTCACTCACATGCCATAACCATTCTTGCATGGTCTCCACAGCCCTCCTTGTTTTTGTTTCCTGTAATACACATGAAACATAAACCGCAAGCCTCCAACTTGACATTTTCCTATCTAGTTCAAAACCCTTATATCTTTGTTCGCATTACTAACCCACAACTGAAGAATCCCTCTCCCTTTTGTTCGAACTGAATCCCCCATATCCCTTCCTTTCTCTAGTTTTCACACAGAAACCTTCTCCATCACTTCATTCATCCATGCAGCACATATTTTGTCTCGTTCAAGCGATATAGTCTCGACTTAGGCTAGTGGGACAGCAGTGACGGGATACCAACATACAAAGTCTTCTGAAATTTCTAATTTTCTTCTTCTTTGATGCCTCAATTTGAAGCTACGCTAATTTATCCAACTTTCTCCCTATGGTCGCCTTCCCTGTCGCCCCACACCTTGTACACCGCAACTCTCATCTTCCTCCTCCAGAACCTACGTCTTCCTCCCACTCTAACTGTACGCAACATAGATCTCCGTAACTCTTGGCTCCTTCCCTGCACCGAAACCCTACCATCTCTGCACCAGAACCCTGCTTTCTCTACGCCGGACCCCTTCACCTCTGACTCGAATCTACGTTGTTCCGCCCTTTTTGTTCCCAGAGAGCTCAGTGCACTCCCCCCTTCTCCATTCCTTTTATTCACCCAAACAAAAACCTATAGTCGATAGCCCCACTTGCTGCTCTAATTCAACTCCCTATTTCTTCATATTCAATCCACTTACCCGAACCTAGCCCTAGCCAAAACCTATGCTTCTCCGTGCACCGAGCCCTTCTTTCCCCATTTTACTATTTGCAAGTCGATAGCCCCACTTGTGTGTGTGTGTGTCTGTGAAATATTTTATATTATTATTTTGTATTGTGTTACTTTGTCGTCAACATAGTTGACTTTGTTGATTCTAATAAAAAAGGTATGAAATGAGGTGAGGGAATTTTTGTAAAAAATACCCATTCGAGGAAGCTTAAGTACCTATTCAAGGAAATAAAGTATTGTTTAGGCAAAATTTTATACTTGTTTGGGAAAATTTTTATAAGAGTCAGGAAATTTAGTGCTTGTTTTGGGAAACCCAATTACCTGTCTTGGGAATTTAGTAACATTCAAGAAAAACTAAGTATTTATTTGGGGAAATATGCATATTTGTGTTTTGACTTTTTGTAGGTAAATTGAATTCTCATTTGCCTTATAGACTGTGTGTTAAAATATATTTTATTTGTTCCCAGGTTGCAGTGTCTCTTTGCTTTGATCAGCGTGTCTTACAGACAGTGGGACATGTTGACATTCTCTTCAGTGTCTCTAACATGGGTAGACATAGGGAGGTTGCCAAAAATTCGAGTGACTTGGACTTACAAATAACTTAAAATTTTAAAATAATTAAACTTGTTAAAATGGTTTAGAATTTGAACTTGCAAACATATTTGAAATCACTTGTAAAAATTTGGAAAATAAATTAAATTTAGGCTCTGAGATTTGAAAAAAATATTTAAAATTTAGGCTCCTATGTTTGAAAAATAAATCAAATTTAGACTTTCAGGCTTGAAAAATAACTCACGTGTGGACTTTAAGAAAAAGACTTAATATATTTGGGGGCAAAGATTGACTTATATATGAAATATCATAAATTGGGGGCAAAACTTGGCTTAAATATGAAATATCATAAATCAGGTTGAAAATTTGACTTATATGTGAAATAACATAAATTGAGGCTAGACTTAAGACATGAATGTCATTTCTAAATGCTAAAATGAAGACCTAATATTCCTGCGACTGAATTTGCAACACATTCGCTAGTTAAGAGAAGATCATTCTTATAGCCCCAAACGAAATTGTATTCAATATCATAATAATTTTTGCAAATGTTTCAAATTGTGAATGATTTCAAGGTATATAGAATTCCATGTTTATTTCTTAAACCCAATTCTACACTCTGAGATTTGTGAGAGTATTTTAAGATTTGTATGAGTGAAAGTTTGGATATTCTCAAATTGTTTATGTTTTGGAACACTTACATAAATAAGTCATCTTTTCATAATTCCAGAGTTCTGCATGTGCCTCTCTAAAAAAACTTCATTTCAAATTCATATTTTAGGAGATCATGCAAGTTGCTTCAAGTCTATAAAATTGTTGAAACTATTTGAATATATGAAATTCACCTACATGTGCTCTACCAATTTAAATATGTATTTAAATTTAAATGACCTAAGAATGTTGCGCGGTTTAATGTTAAATGTTCATTCATATAGTCTGTTTTTTTTAGAACCACGTAAAATTCTTTTGAAACTTTTATGATCATTTTAAATTTAAATAATTCTCATGTTTTAAAAATTAAATCCCAAATAATTAAACTATACACGCTCTCAAACAGGCCACTTTGTCTATAGGACAGGGTCTTATGTTCTAGTTAGCTAGTTCGATCTAGATTCTCTTAAGAATTAGAGTCAATGAGTCTAGTAATTTCATTATAGATGGTTAAAAATGAAATTTTAAGATTAAAAATGGAGAAAATAATTAAAATATGTTGCCTTAAAATTTTGATTTAAAATCTTATTCAAAGTATTCAAGACTGATGTGTCCTAATGTAGAATAATTTTATTTATTTGATAAAAAAAATTGTTATTTTATTATTATTACATCATTGGAAAAAATATTTAAATAATTTAATATTTATTAACTCATCTGGTTCAACCCTCATTGAATTGTTGAATCTTCAATTTTTTCTTCAGGTTAAATGTTTGGTTTACTTATCAAAACCTTGGACAAAATTACTAATAAAAGTCTTGGGGATGGGTTAGCTGGACACTTCTAGATTTTAATAATGAATTAAGTTTTATTTTTATTAATGCTCAACCACAGGAGAGCATGGTATTGTTAAAAGGGTAATAAGCTTGCTTTTTAAGTGCAGAGTACAGTGTTAAGTTTGTACATTGTTTTGCATAGAAGTTGGTTACATTGTAAAGCATAGTTAAATCGGCGATGCGTGCACTTTGTTGTGACTTCATAGGGTGACTTCATGGGGTGCACCTCCTCAATTGAAGTAGCATGTTTAAGCCATGGGTTAATATTATGCATTGTTCATTGCATCAAACACATGCTCTATGTCTTTGTATATTTTATATTTTTTTCTTGTTAATATTTTTGTTAAAATGACATAGATCATTCATAATTTTGGTCTGTACTAAAATGTATGATTGTTAAATATTAATGCTTCATGCGAAATGTGCACTTCAATTAATTGAAGTGTGTGTTTTGTTTGTGCATTGTGCTGAAAACAAAAAAAAAAAAAAAAAATCTTTTGAGCATTGGCTTCCTTGTTAGAAGAGATATTTTAAAAGTTGGTGTTTCTCTTTTGGCTTGTTGTGTTACCATCCATTCCATGTTATTTTTCATGTAGTTTTCATACAACTTGTTCTAGTCACATTCAAGTAGATTTGATCTACCAATGTCAGTTGGCCTCCTTCTAGACTTAGCCTGACCATGTGGGTATGCTTGGTCATCATGCCGTTTAGCCTACATCTGGATTATTTTAGGCAATTTTGGTGTAATCTTTTTGCTCAGCCGTATTGCTTAGCTATTTGGTTAACCAAGCCCAGCATCAGGAAGTGCCTCTTTTATCTGTACTATATTTTTCCATTGTATAATTTAAACAGAGAGGATTAGATATCCTGTTTATTTCTATTTTCAATAAACTAAGTTATTCTGATAAGATGTGGTTTTGTGATATTTTTAACATGTGAATCAACCACTTAACAGTGAATCTAGATTCTAATGAAAATTACTTAGCGCTATTGAGTTTAATCTTTGCATCCGTTTTAGGTTTATCATTTATTTTCAAACTTCTAGTTTTTTTCTTAAACCCACTTTCTCAAATTGATGTTGTATGCATTGTGTCTATTGTTGGTGCAATGATGCAATACATTTGATTAATGTTTTGTTTTCTTCTTTTCCATTAGTTTGTGTGACATTCTATTATTTTTCATTTGATCATAACAAGTCTATGTCAGTATAGCTTTTCTGACTTTGAAAGTTATCACCGATCTAGTGATGAAAGTTTATGCGCATGTACATTTGTATTTGTGTGTAGATGTATGTGTGTGGATATATATATATATATATATATATCAATTATATTAAACAGAAAGGGGGACATAGAGGTTGTATAAA